GGCTGAGCAGAGGAGGATCAGTGTGGAATACTTTGCAGTGTGTCAGCTTTAATTTGTGACATTTATACTGAGCTCCATTTCAGGATTCTCGGCTGGAGCTGGAGGCCAGCTTCAAATGTAAATACAGTCATCCTGTTTATTCTGCTTCATCCCGTCGTCCACCTCCACCGTGTCCCAGGCCGCTCCCCTCACCCATACCTCATGTTGTATTACGCAGTTTACAAGAAGAACATGCTTTTCAAACGCAGCGGTAAATTCCGACAGTTTAAGTCTGAGGGAAACAGAGAGGCATTAACGTTTGTCTGTGCGTCTCGTCTGGTTAATTAACTCTGTGTCCGAGGACTAAAGGTCTCTGAGCGAGTTCAGTCAGTGGTTCAGAAGAATAACAACAACAGTAGAACTGGTAAACACCGGTGTGACGGTGTAGAAGCTGCAGAGAGAGATCTTTTTAAATCCAGACCAAAATAAAACATCGGTTTAACAAACTCTGTTTGTTTTTGCAGCCTGGTGATAAATATTCACTTTTTTAAGTATCCAAGAGGGGGCGTCCAATTAGTTTGGGAATGCTTTTCCCCGCAAGGAATAATTAATGCAAAACAAAGTCTTTACCCTGTTGTGTTCACAGTGTTAATTTTTGGTTAAATGTGGTATAATAGTTGGCTCTCTTACTCAGCGATGGTAATTTTTCTTGAAATCAAGGGCAGCTTTTTTTTTTTTTTTTTTGCTGTTTTAATCAACAGTAATGGTCCTTTAAATCTGGCTGTTTTAGAAAATTCTAATTAATCACAGTGATTACTTTCCAACGTGTGTTTTCACTGCACTTAAACCAGCTCTTATTCATTCATTGTCGTGTTAATTCTGTCTATGGTTGAAAGTGCAAATGAAAAAAAAATAACAACAAAAAAAGATTTTGTTTGTTTTATGGAGGAATACCAATGAGTACATGCAAATACAATACAGAAATATTACCAGTGTCAATGAAACCAGTGATCTTCCAGCTGTAAGGCTAGAACATTAACCAGCTGTCCACCATGTGGTCCAAATCATCCATTTATATTCACCACTGTGTTTTTAACCGACAAACAGACGAACTAATACTGAATTAAATGGTTTTCTCGGGGGAACCAGACTGTCATTCAGTGAAACTGTGCTGTGGTGTGAGGTTCATCAACATAAGACCAGTGAGCCATGAGGCATGGAAATAATCATGAAACTCACTACAACTAATTAGCACAGTGCTAAACGTCTGGATTAGCATTTTCCTCTTTTCTAAACACACGTCACTAAATGCACTTTTAGTTAAAAAAAAAAAACTGAAAGTGAAAAAGTCATGTCTAATAATACCACTGCAGTGGTACAAAAAAAGCTCACACTGGGCGGGGTAAAAAAATCGATTTGGGCAAGTTACCAACCCCCAGTTTGTTAGTGCATCTGCCTAAACCCTTTCCTATTCTGCCAAAGAAACAGTTGCTTAGTTGAGCAGAAAATTGTCCAATCTGTCAACGGGCCTCGCAGCCTTCAGGCTGTTAAACCATAAGAAATGTGTCCCACGATGAAAAGAGTTTCTTTTACAAGGGAAACACAAACGAGGTGATTATATTATAAAGTATTTTATATTATATTTCTACTGGTGTAAAATTGAATATAAAGGAGATATGACTGGAGAAAGTCTGGAATGATCCATTAGTTCATTCATAAGTCACTGTTGGTCGAAGAAGGTATTAAAGGTTACTATCTCATCAAGAAACTAAAACATTTTATAATTATATCGTTGTGTTCAAAATGAACAATTTTGAAATCAACAAGCTTTAAAAAATATTGAAACTTTGCAGCAGATTCTGATTGAACTCCAGTTGATTGTATTTATTTTCTGGAAACTGAAAGAACATTTCCTAGGAACTGGATAACAGACCTCAGGAGAGGCAGTTGGTGACCTGGTTTCTACAAGGACCAGATTTATTGGCCTACTAGGAAGATATGTGAAGAAAGATTTTTTTGTTTCAATTTGTCTTTTTAAAAAAAAAAAAAAAAACCTCTTACAGCCAGAGTTGATATTTCCTACAGATCCTCAGTGCAGTTGATTTTGTGTCAACTGGAGGCGACCACATGTTCTCCTACCTGCCTGGTCGATTAGACGAAGGACATTCAGCCACTGAACATGTTATGAATCTTAAACAGTGTTCGTTTGCCTGAAATATAAAAGTGGATCCAGTCAGATAAAGACCTCGGTTCTAAAACGAGCCTTTTTTTTTTTCGTTAACAAACCCTGGTTCACGACTAAAGACCAGACCTGCTCTAAATAGTGAGTGAAAGAATACCTGCTACAAATGTTGCATAAGACAGTACTAATCACTCCACTGTGGTACAAAACCTTGCTCTCTGAGACGCCCCCCCCCCCCCCCCCCCCGCCCCCCCCCCCCCCCATGCCTTTAGGTGACTCAGCTTCGAGCCTTGTGTGTGTTTACATGCTCTGCTGAAAGGACTTGAATTTGTGTGGAGCTGAATGAATAACAGCCATTTGGCTGTGGTTGGAGTGGCCGTCCTCCCCCACTCCTCTCTGTAGGAGGAAAATGGATGAGAGTCAGTCCTCCACCGAACAAGTGTTTACAGAACACGTTCTTTTATTACTTCCAGACGTGTTGCATCACTACAAAACCCCGACCTGGATATTCACCGTAGGTGCAGCGGGTTCACATTTAAAACATTTTTAGGCCTTTTTTCAGTATGTGTTTATTCTGTGCCGTGTCCTTACAGCTTTCCACCACCTAATTAGCGCCTTTCAAGGCCGGTGTTAGCTTTAAGCACAACAAACCCTGGTTACTAATGAGACGTCAGGATCAAAGATCGCCAACACAACGATCCTTTTAATTTATTCCGAAATGTCTTTGTTTCTTTTCAGCCACAAAGACCTGCAATCCGAGGCAGTTTGTGTGCAAAGACGGTACGTGCATCTCCAACGGGTGGCGCTGTGACAGAGAGAAGGACTGTCCCGATGGTTCTGACGAGGAACCCGATGTTTGTAAGTCGAACTGATTCAGATCTAGAGCCTGAATTATATCTTTGGAATGGTTTGATGGAGATTCAAGGCAGACAGATATAAAACACAAAATGAAAGTGTCTGGACTGAATGACATTTTTTTGTGATTATAGAACAGAAGCTGAAAGTTTTAGTAAAAAAAAAAAAAAACCCAAAAGAACAAGGTATTAAAGGATCGGATTGAATCATTCTCTTTTTATATTATTCATCATTATTATTTTCTATTTGTTCATGGGGGAGCGTGCAGTTAGACATAAAGCCCATCTGATGTTCTACAGAGTTTATTGCTAACTGCTAATTGCAAACCTCCAGTCTCTCACTGGGCTTCTCAGAAATAAAACAATGTCAGTACAAACAACAGCAACATAGGTTAAAATTGTATTGAAAATGTGAATACAGCTTCTCAGAAATAAAACAATGTCAGTATAAACAACAGCAACATACAGTAAGTTAAAAACTTATTGAAAATGTGAATACAAAAAAAAGTGAATTATTGGACTGAAGTCTTCCTTTTAGAAGTTTAGTTTTCATCCCGGGTGTTGATTTTTTTTTAGCTAGTTAGCATGCAGTGTTGATTTTGTACGTGTGTCATGTGTTTTTGTGGCTTTACCCAGTATTCCTGTGGTGTTAGAGCAGACAAACTTGCAGTGTGTCAGTATATGGTTCTTCTTACTCATCCAGGTCCCAGAACAGGAAGAGAACTGTGGCTACGTAGCAGTTACGCTAGCAGTTTATGTAGCCTTCAGTTTGGTCGTAACACAGGCTTTATTCACAATCGCAGCGTAAGAGTTGAATTTGAAATCCAGGCAGGATTAGAGTATGAACCTAGTAGATACTTCAGATACTGTAACCTAGACAGTAGTTCTGTGTGTCTACATTCCAGAATACTGCAGTAAACCATGAACTTTTATTTTGACGTTCAAGGTTTGGATTGGATTTAGGATTAGAATAAGGGTCAGATTAGAGTTGGGTTTAAAATTAGACATGTGTTTGTAATAGTTGATTTAGGACAAGGGGCTATGTGTGTGTGTGTGTGTGTGAAAGAGAGAGAGAGAGAGAGCAACAGTCTAGACACCTCGACTGTACGTATGAGAGTCGGTCTGGAAGTCATTAGGGACTCGCCCTGAGCTATGGAGAAACCTGCTGTTTTTCACAACCTGCTCTTCTCTGCCTGGACAGCCGTCCTCCATCTTTGTATCCTGAGTGGAAACCCAGTGCCCCCAACTCTAACTCCACTGTGCCACCGAAGGTTCTTAATGAAATTTGCTGTGGTTGAAATAATGGCCAGAGGAATTCAGTGAGTTAATGACAGACAGCCGTCCTACAGCAGACATGGACACGTCATCACAGACGTACCACTTCACAGACCAGTACAAGAACGAGTACTTTAATGTGTGTACTGGCCAATACTGAGTACTGTCACTGTAGGTTGGGTTTTCAATCAAATTAAAATGAAGTGATAGTAGTTGGTAGTGTTGTCTACAGCAGTGGTCCCCAACCCCCGGGCCGCGGGCCGGCACCGGTCCGTGGGTCAGTTAACTTATATTACTGTTGTTTTATTCATCACAATCTGTTTCTGAAGGATGTTTTATTTTGAAAAAATTACCGGATTCTCTCCGCCTCATTTGTCTACGGCTCACACTTGATACATGTCAACGTGCTCGCCTCGAGCACAACAAAATACTTCAAACTGACACTGTTGTCACATGAGACAACACAGCAAAAAAAAAAGGATACAATTAAGAAAAAAGTAATACTTTGGTTCTTAGGTAACGTAGTCAGATAAGATACATCAGTGTATCCAGTGTGAAGAAACAGTTCTGTTACTGTAAGTTACTGTAAAAGACCAAATCCTACAGTAAGTCTTTGTCTCCGATGTTTAAATTCCTCCAAACATGTTGACCTACTTCCATAAACTACAGCAGGAACCTGCAGCAGGAAAACTATATCGATACATCCTCCTCCACAGTTCACCTGCTCTTCACCGCCACCTAGTTTACAAACTTTTACCATTAATAAATCCAGAACTAGTTTTTAAACATCAGGAGCAGCTGGTCTCTCTTCAGTGGCCGCCATTTTGGATCATGACGTATTCAAGCTCTCCTGCAGAAGACAAGCTAAGGAGCAGTTGTGTTTTGATGACAACTGAAGGCCGACATACATTATGTTCTTCTACGGTACGTGCTGAGACAGTGAGGACTAAACGGAAATAATATAATTTACAAATTACCTTTAACCTTTACACAACAGTGAGGAGGAGAGATTTTATTCCTCCTTGTGCATCTGTTCTCATTAACAAAATGTTCAAACTAAAATCCTTCTCCATCGAGGTATCGAACGCTGGTACATTTGCAGTACTTCTGTGATATTACTGCAGATACTGCCAGTTTCTGCTGGGGGAGAGGTCGGTGTATAAACCCATGTGGACGGGGACTCAGAGTGGCCTTTATTGCGGTGTTGACTGTTGCCAGTGAAGTCAGCCACTGTCCAGTGCAGCTGCTTTGCCCTGCTGTGTAACCCCCACAATGCTTTGCTTTGTGCCCTGACGTGCTGGGTCAGTCTGGCATAGGGCGACGCTGAAAACGTCAAACAAAAACAAAACGGTTGTCTGGGCATATGACCTTAATGAAAGGCTTTGATCCTCATTTCTACCCAGGGAACTTTTCAAATCCATGTTACGGACATGAATAAGTGCCGTTTAGTCGTCGCTCCGTGAATAAAGCCTTGTGCAAAGATGTTTTCTCTGGGCTGCAGACTCTTCCAGGGATCCCAGCTAAGCCCAGGAAGTGAATAATGCCACGATGATGCTCTCTGCCCTGTAATAACTGCAGTTCTGCAGACACTTCCCACCTAGACTGCAATTAGCTTTTAGGAGATTAAGCTCCTCTGTCACAGCCAACCTCACAGAGGAACTCATTCTCTTTCAGGGTGTAGAGAGCTTATCACCGTCGTCCGCCAATAAAACAAAGAAGAAAAAAAATTAAATGAAACGTGATGTTCACTGCCTCCGTGTAACAAAAAATAGAAACATCAGCTGATCCAAACCCGGCAGTTTTATTGTTCAGGAGGACGTGATCTGCTTGATCCTGATCCTGCCCCCGTCTCCCAGAGACTGCCTCCACCCAGAGCAGACACGGAAAACAACATTTATTTAACATGAAAGAGTTTGGAGTCAGCCTCGCTCCAAACTGGCTGCAGGCGTGAAGTTACAGTAAAAGTTCAGCCGCAGTTTTTGTCCGTTCTCACACTCCGACATCGACTGATGTTCTTTCTCTGTCAGTGTCAGTGTCTCTGGTTAGTGCAGTGTGAGGTCAATACAACTGCTTCTAAATCCATTGGTTAAAACTAGTGCGAGACACATATCAAACCAGCTTCTCTTCATTGGTTAAAACTAGTGCGAGACACAAACCAGCATCAAACCAGCTTCTCTTTTTTGTCCAAACTTAAACAGACATTTAAAATCATGCAACTTTATTGTATGTAAAGATTTTGTGAATCATTTGATGCATAGCCTCAAATGTCCTATTTATAATTTTGAGTAGCACCTAAATGTTTTTCTCGACTTGGGTTTGAAATATTCTGCGTCGACGCCAGAAAAGACCTAAAACTGTTAACGAAAACAAGTGTCCACAGACGCAGGCCCATAAATACTGTACATAGACAAAAACGTATATAAATACATGCTCTATTTAGGACTGTGGTGAGACAGATGGCACCCAGAGGCCACCAGCCGACCAGTTCTGCTTTTGGATGAGAAGTTGAGGTCGGGCCTAAGGAGCGGACAGCGTCGGCCTCTGGGCCGCGACAGGACAGCACAGTCTGGCCTGTATTCAGCCGAGGAAAGTGTGTCAGGAGTTTTAAAATGTAAAAAAAGATATTATGTAATCTCAGCAGTGCTCTCCACAGAGGGGGAAGGTGGGGGTGAGGGTGAAGGGGTGAAGCGAGCAGGAGGCACCCTTAGGGGGAGATCGGGAGAAGCAGCCTGACTAAGAGGGGCTGAGTGAAGCAGATACGTGGTGTGATGATATGATTATCAATCAGGCTCCACAGGCAGAGAAATGTTTAAAAAAATGAATCTCTCCGTTCCTCTGTGGCTGTCCAACGACCTGGTGTCTGATCAGAAACTATAATACATGCTGTATTGATTGGGTGAATGTAGAATTGGAAATCCATTCACCCATTTTCTACTGCTGAATCCTTTAAAGGGTCATGGGGTGGAGGCTGGTTCCAATCCCATCCGTCAGCTGTCCAGGTACACAGTGGACTGTTCGTCGATCCACTGTAACAAGTTACAACCGAACAACCGTTCACAATCACAGTCATCTCCAACATAGTCAACATTAACCCACATCTGTTTGTCCAACACGCAAACGCCATGAAGAAAAACTGGGGATCGAACCAGCGATCTTCTTGTCACAAAGGCAATCATGCTGACCACATCTGCCACCTTGTGGCCTGAATTGGAAATCAACTTTGTCTTTTGTGATGGTTGTTTGAATTGACATACATTCAACCAAGTATTATGCCTTTCTCCCCTGTAGGGGGTGCTGTGATTCTAATGTTACAGTTAAGTGCAGGTTAGAATTTCCGCAGTCAGAATTAACCCATCTGTGAGCGTCACAGTCTAATGGAGCCGTACTCCTCCATCAACACTGACAAACCTTCACCAGTTTTGATTTGAAAATTCTTTTCATTTCTTTCGAGATTCTCCCTGTCACACAATAATGTTTTGTTTACAGATTTATTACCTTCCATACCTTCCTGCTTTCAAAGCTGGTTTAAACTGAGACGATTGTTTATTTTTGAACACCATTCATGAAGTAGTACTTTCTTCTATTCAGGTGTTTGGCTCCGTTCACAGCGTATACCCCCCCCCCCCCCCCCCACTCCTCCTTCTCCGTTGGGCCTTCCTGCCATTTCTACGTGTTGATGAGTTATTTGTTCCATTTAAATTTCTCTACACAACAGCTCAGAGTTACTGT